GCTGGTTGAACTCCTGACCTTAAGTGATCTGCCCATCTTGGCCTCCCAAAGTGCTGGTATTTTACAGGCATGAGCCACCATGCCTGGCCCCATTATGATTTTTATGTTTTCAACTTATTACTGAGTCAGTAATTAACTATTTCCCTTTAGAAACTGGAGTAAGTTTTTTTCTTAAAAAAAAAAAAAGTCCATTAACAAATAGTTTACTTATCTGAGAGTGCACCTAAAGATATGAAAGCCTGATCTTTTGTAGTTTTTGTTTGGCCAATTTTTGTTGGTAGACATTTGACATTGTCTTGGCAAATTATTGTATAATTTGCTTAATCGTCTCCATAAGTTGGCTATTTTGGTTGTTCCTTGTTTTCTTCTTTAAAGAGTACTTTTATAAATATCTCTGTACTTCATTTACCATTCAAATAATTATTGAATTTATGAAAATAAATACAGTGAGATATAGATCTGTGAGATAAGAATCCTACCAGGCATTGGGAATACGACAGAGAACAAGGCAAAACTCTGTCCTTAAGTTAACATTCTCAATTCATCATCACCCCTACTTCTCACCCAAGCCAGTCTGTTTTCCCAGATTTGCTGAATATTCTTTTGCCCAACACAGAAATATTGATATTAACTTGGCTTCTCTTCTTTTATATCTACAACTAATAAATCATGAAAGCTCATCAGTTCTACCCTTTTTATAGCTCAAATCAGTCATCACATTTCTCTGAAGCTTGACTATTTTGCTTCAGTTCCCCATTGTAGCACACCAAGGTCACTGCAGTGGTCTCCTAATTGATCTTCCTCTAGTCTTGACCCTCTAAACTGTTCTCCATACCGATGATTTTCACTACATTTCAGAGAGCTTTGCGGTTCCTTAAACCATCAGAGTCTATTGTCTTTTCTCTGTATTAGGAAAGAAAAGGAAACTAAAACTGCATTTATTAAATTGAACAAGTTGAGGCCTTCTATATGCGAGACATTGGGCTAAACTTTAGACATCAAAGACACAGTTTTTCCCTTCATGGGAGTAATAGTCTGGTGTAATATAGATAGGCTATCACAGTGCAGAGGGGAGAGAGTGTGATCTAAGAAACTCATCTGACATATCCAGCTCTAGTTTTCCTGGCTGTCACGAACACTGATCCTCTAGTCAAAAACCAGCTTGCCCATTTTACTCACGATTTCTTCCAAGAAAGCATGAATACCAGGAGAGTAGGCATCATTTCACAGGCTGCACCATTATTGTGAATAGCCCCTTTGTACATAGGAGGCACAGAGGTTAAATAATTTGCCCAAGATTACACACCGTTAGTATAAGTAGCAGAGTAAGTGGTTTCAAACCCAGTTAAACTCCAGAGTTCTGACTACTGCATACTGTCTCTCTACATTTAATTCTTTGAAGGAAACTTAAGCTTAATAGCTTAAGTTAACTTGCTCAAGTCACACATACGCCTAACAAATAAGGAATATTCTCACATAGATAGCAGAATCCAGTGATTCCTAAACCTGGCTGGCTATCAAATTAAGCTGTAGAACGTTTTTTAAAATTACTTAGAATTTTTTAATCGGTAATGTATCCACAGGTATTCAAAAGAGCATACAGTAAAAAATACTGAATAGGCATGGGTATGAGAACCTTTATTTAAATAAACTTTGTTTCTGGTTCTGATATATGCAGCAGTCTTATTTCTATAATAGCACTGATTTCATGTACTTATTTTTTCAATAAAAAATTAAAATCCTTGGAGAATTTTCAAATGAATAATCTGCACTTTAATTATTTAAATATTCTTTTTTTGGTTGGTTGGGCCTTATATATTGATTTTTTTATTGGAAAAATCATTACAATGTGGACAATAGTTTTGATAATTTTTAAATCAAATGCCGAACCTTGCTGCCAAAAAAACAAGTAATACCTCCTTTTCTCCTACTTTTTCCTGTCCCTCAGCCTTCCAAGACCTACCTCTGGATACAGCTACTGTTACCAGGATTTTTTGTTCAATCTTCTAGCAATGTTCTACTCTATAAAGTGTATATCTGTGTATACACACATGAACACAAATAGATAACAATTGGTAGCATTTATACATACTATTTATCCCACTATTTTACCTTAACTATATCTTGGAGATTATTTTTTCTTGGTGCCTCCTATTCTTTTTAACTCTAGAACAGTCCAGGCTGTGCATCTCCCTAGTACCTACTGATAAGCATGGAGTGTGTTTGTAGTTCACTGTTAGGACAAGGCTGCAGTGACTTACCTTGTAGATACTTCCGAAAAAATCACACATATTGATGTTTCTCTGTAGGACATATTTCTAGAAGTGGAAATGCTAGGTCAAAGGGTATGTTCATCTGTAGCTTTTAATAGACATTGCCAAATTATCCTTCATATGGGTTGTTTTCCAATTTATACTCTCCCCAACAGTGTACAGAGGTGCCAGATTCCCTGTTATCCTCACAAGTACAGTGCTATCACACTTCACTTTCAGTTCATGGTATAGATAAAAAGAATATTTCATTTGCTGGTTTGGAGCATCAAATGTTGAAACATGGAATGTTGAAACATGGAAGTTGTTTGGAGCATCTTTTCATTTGTTGCATTTCTGTTTATGTTTACTTTTTTGTAATATATCCTTTGCTATTTTTTAATCAGGCTTTTCTTCTTCTTTTCTGGCAAATGTTCTTTTACACATTAAGAAAATTAGTTCTGTCTCTGAGACATGTTGCAGATGTGTTTCCTAGATTGTCACTTGTGTTTGACTTCATTTATAGTAGGTTTTTATTTTTTGCCATGCATTTAAAATTTTTATATACTTAAATGGATAAATAAATATTTTCTTCTGGTTTTTAAGGAACTATTTTTAAAGGAATAATAATCATGTGATTATAAAGTAATATAAGTTTTGGTATATAGTATAAAAATGCCATACGCTTTAGGTGTAGGCAGGCCTTAATTCACATCTTAGTTTTGTCACTGATTAGGTGATGATCTCAGACAAGTTATTTAACTTCCCTGAATCCATGGTTTGTCAAATGTAATGTGAAAAATGGACCTGGTTCACAAGGCTTTTTTTTTGTTTTTCTGGTTGGAATAAACAAGATAGTATCCTGATATATTTTAGACATGTAGTAAAACTATCTTTTGCTATGTTCTTAGATTTAAAAAAATCAATACTCATCGCTTCTCGGCCTTTTGGCTAAGATCAAGTGTAAAAAAATCAATACTGTTATTCTATAATCAAACTTTCTATATTGTACATAGTTTGATTTTTAAAAACTTAGCAGAAAAATCTCTTCGTTAACAAAATACATATTGAAAGACTGTAGTAAAAACTATTTATGAATATACGTACTCAGGCCAGGTGCCATCACTCAATGCCTGTAATCCCAGCACTTTGGGAGGTTGAGATAGGCTTATCACTTGAGGTCAGGAGTTCGAGACCAGGCTGGTCAACATGGTGAAAACCCATCTCTACTAAAAGTAGAAAAATTAGCTGGGTCTAGTGATGTTTGCCTGTAATCCCAGCTACTTGGGAGGCGTAGGCAGGAGAATCACTTGAACCTGCAAGTTTGGAGGTTGCATTGAGCTGAGATCATGCCACTGCAATCCAGCCTGGGCAATACAGTGAGACTCTGTCTGGGAAAAAAAAAAAATGGAAAAGAAAAGAAGTACTCAGTAAATATGCTAACCTAAAAAATGCCTCTCTCAATTATAATCATGCTTAAGGGTCTTTCTTTTTATACAAATTATTTTCTTAATTTGTGTTTTTCTGTTCTCATCAAAAACAAAAATCTTAAGCAGATGCCATTTCATTTTTTCTTACCAAGTAATAAATCAGATTATTTGAAAAGAGAATCTAAAGGTCAGTGCAAAAGCAATCACGGTTTTGCTGTTGAAAGTAATGGCAAAACCTGCAATTATTTTTGCACCAACCTGATACCTATTCATGGATTTCATAATTAGTTTCTGTTTTCAAATATAAATGGAAACCATTCCAGAGTTGGGTGAATGCTTGTTTTAACTATATTTGTGTCATTGTTACAGAATGTTTTTATTTAGTTAGTAATTTAGAGTGTGGGAGCCTTTTTAAAAATAGCTGTTACTTTGGAAAGCAGCATGAGGCTGTCTAAAAAAAAAAAGAATGTAAATGTTTATCGCATGCATGTATATTTATGTTTCTCTAGGGTGGCTTATCTGCATTCAAAAAATTTCAGTAAAGCAGATGTTGCACAGATGGTCAGAAAAGCACCATTTTTGCTGAACTTTTCAGTGGAAAGACTGGATAACAGATTGGGATTTTTTCAGAAAGAACTTCAACTTAGTGTGAAGAAGGTAAAGAAAAGGAGAGAATTTATTTATTTCCATGTCAGGTACATTTTAGTAGCTGGTAAATCTGATGTTCCTAACAGATGCCTGGCCCATGTGAATCCTATAAATTCCTGGTATTTTTTTGTACAAAATGAATTATCCTGCTAGTTTAAACATAAAGCTACATCATTTTATAATACTTCATCAAACCTGTTCTTTTTTTTTTCCAAGCAGTACTAACTTTATATATCCCTGGAGTTCCTATCATTTTTCTGATAGGAACACACACACACATACACACACACACACATATATGTATATATGATTGGGTCATATATATGACCCACTAGACTCATATATATATTTTATTTTATTTTATTTTTTGAGATGGAGTATTGCTCTGTTGTCCAGGCTAGAGTGCAGTGGCTCTATCTCAGCTCACTGCAATCTCCACCTCCTGGGTTTAAGCAATTCTCCTGCCTCAGCCTCCCGAATAGCTGGGTTACAGGCATCCACCACCACACCAGCTGATTTTTATATTTTTAGTAGAGACTGGGTTTCACTATATTGGCCAGGCTGGTCTCAAACTCCTGACCTTGTGATCCGCCAGCCTCAGCCTCCCAAAGTGCTGGGATTACAGGTGTGAGGCACGGTGCCCAGCCAATTGGGTCATATTTTAAGTTTTAACTTTGTATCTTAGTAGTGCCTTAATTTTCGAAACTAGTTAAATATGCACATATAGTAACACTAGATTGTTTTGTTTGCAACCATAGACCAGAGAGCTGGTAGTTCGTCTCCCAAGGCTGCTCACTGGAAGTCTGGAACCTGTGAAAGAAAATATGAAGGTAGGACTTGGACTTTTGAGAAATCAGTTTCTTTAAGTGTTAAAATCCTCTGAGGAGAATAGATTTTGCTGTTGTCATCTTAAAGAAAACTAGACTTTAAAATAAGTTATTTCTAAAAAGAGAAATAGGCAATTAACAAATGTCTAGCAAGCAGTTTGTTTCAGTTAATATTTTCACATGTTGACCAGGTGTTACGTGAGTAAATTACCTTGCAGACATTGATACCCGCCATCCTAAAGCAATACGTTAGGATATAAGTGGTGCCCTGAAACTGCTTCTGTTGTCAGCATAGGAGTCTGACATCTTTGTTACCTGGGCAGTGTTACCAGTCTGAGAAACTACTCCTGTTGTCCAGCATGACAGTCTGTGTATATCTTGGGGACTTTGGGAGGCTGGATCCAAAAGACTTCTATGAAGGGAGGAGCGGCCATATTGCTTTTCTTAGCACTTGTCCCAATTGCCAACTCTCATTCTGTCACAGAACATACCAGACACTCTTTACCATCCTTCCTCCAAGAGAATAAATGAAGCCAAGGGCAGCTGACTAGTTAGTATAGAAAGCCATGGTAGTATTTGAAATTACTATGTAAGGGCTGCTTTCTGAAGTGAACAGTTCAGTTATTGAAGAAGTCTTTATTGAGCTCCTGCCCAAGTGCTATGCTGGGGAGACAGCCCCTCCTGTCAAGGAGCTTACAATCTAATGGGAGATCAAATCCAGAGTGACAGGGGCAGTGACTTTGTGGGGGCACACAAGACACTATGAAAGCAAGTAGAGGACTTGGCGCATGTTTGGGTGTTTAGTTTATCATCTCTGCCTGGAATGTTGACATGTCATTTTTCAGACAACATATACGTGAGTGCGCTTGGGAGCAAAAGCTTAGGAGGCATTTTGAAGATCCTGCTGCTGAAGGATCTGTTTGGTGTTGGGCCCATGCCACTGACCTGCCAGCCGTCCCATGTCACTCATTCTGTCTCGTAATTATGGTTGCCCCTTTGGTGGTCTTCATGACGATCACTGTGTAGCTCTTTCTCAGCTGAGAGGTCTGAAATTCCGGTGACCCCAGGGGCTGGAAGCTGTAATTCCTTGAAGGCACTGGTGTAACTGTCTCCAATTTTTTTTTTTTTTTTTTGAGACAGAGTCTCACTCTTGCCAGGCTGGAGTGCAGTGGCACGATCTCGGCTCACTGCAACCTCCACCTCCCAGGTTCAAGTGATTCTTCTTGTCAGCCTCCCAAGTAGCTGGGACTACAGGCGTGTGCCACCATGCTCAGCTAATTGTTTTTGTATTTTTATTAGAGATGGGGTTTCACCATATTGGCCTAGCTGGTCTCGAACTCTTGACCTCATGATCCGCCCATCTTGACCTCCCAAAGTGCTGGGATTACAGGCGTGAGCCACCATGTCTGGCTATCTCCAAATTTTAAAATGTTATTTTAAGTTTTAAAAGAATCATGGCCAAGTGTGGTGGCTCACGCCTATAATCCTAGCACTTTGGGAGGCCAAGGCGGGCAGATCACTTGAAGTCAGGAGTTTTAGACCAGCTTGACCTACATGGTGAAACCTCATCTCTACAAAAAAAAAATATAAATTAGCCAGGCATGGTTGTTAGGTGCCTGTAATCCCAGGTACTTAGGAGGCTAAGGCAGGGGAATTGCTTGAACCCAAGAAACGGAAGTTGTAGTGAGCTGAGGTCATGCCACTGCACTCCAGCCTGGATGACAATGCAAGACTCTGTCTCAAGAAAAAAAAAAGAATCATGACCAGGCACGGTGACTCACGCCTGTAAGCACTTTGAGAGGCCAAGGCAGGTGGATCACTTGAGGTCAGGAGTTCAAGACCAGCGTGGCCAACATGGTGAAACCCTGGCTCTACTAAAGATAACAAAAATTGGCCTGGTGTGCTGGCATTTCTCTGTAGTCCCAGTTACTTGGGAGGCTGAGGCAGGAGATTGTGCCACTGCACTCCAGCGTGGGCAACAGAGCAAGACTCTATCTCAAAAAAAAAAGAATCAGCGCAGCCTTAGCATGGTACCAAAATAAATATTTCTGCTTAGGATTCATAGCAAATTTACTTTCTTTTAGGTTTATCATCTTGAACTTGGTTTTAAACATAACGAAATTCAACATATGATCACCAAAATCCCAAAAATGTTAACTGCAAATAAAAGGAAACTTACCGAGACGTTTGATTATGTGCACAATGTGATGAGCATTCCCCACCACATCATTGTCAAGTTCCCACAGGTAATGCCACTCACAGCTCTCTCTGTAAGCACTACAATTGCGCTGCATTCAGAAGTGCTCTCCAGCTGCATAGTGCTGTGCACTGGGAAGAGTTTACAACTTGCAGGAAATGAACATCTTACAACTTCCAACAAATGTACATCTCCTGAGAAATCAGTGATTAATCTGTTTCCCTGGAGTTTCTACATACTCCTAGTTCTGATTGTTGAAATCAGGCAGAACAGATCGAATGTAGTCTCCCTCATGTTTTTCTCCATTTTACTTTGAAATAGATCACTTCCCTTAAAGGTCCTTTCACTGCTACATGTACTTTTTAGTCACATTTTATTTAAATCCATGAATCAATAGGCCATACTGTAATGATCTCCTATCCCAATATAAAACAGTTTCAGTTTGCCATCATGCCAAAGCCATAATTATATTTTCTAAGTTAATGAAACTTCCTTATTCTTTAGTGAGGGATAGTATCTGCTGTTCACAAGATCATTAATCTTGAATATTGACTCTGTAAAAGCAGAAACTTTGTCTGATTTATATACTGCCAAATCCCCAGTGCCTAGAACTACACGTGGCACTAAGAAGGCACACAGTATTTGTTGAACAAATAAATGATTGGATTTTCTCAAAGTAATCCTTTTTTTCTATTTCCCATATAAATAGCCACTCAGTATTTACTGGATAAATGAGAAAGTGAATTTTTACTTAAGTGATCCCTCTACTCCATTCACTAGAATAGGTATGTTCCTGTTTTTGAAAGAAGATGGGTAAAAGCAATATAACCTTGGCCGGGCACAGTAGCTCACACCTGTAATCCCAGGACTTTGGGAGGCAGAGGCAGGTGGATCACGAGGTCAGGATTTCAACACCAGCCTGGCCAAGATGGTGAAGCCCCGTCTTTACTAAAAATACAAAAAAGTGGCTGGGCGTGGTGGTGGGCGCCTATAATTCCAGCTACTCGGGAGTCTGAGGCAGAGGCAGATAACTGCTTGAACCCGGGAGGTGGAGGTTGCAGTGAGCTGAGATTGCGCCATTGCCCTCCAGCTTAGCAAGAGAGTCAGACTCTGTCTCTCAAAAAAAAAAAAAAAAAAAAAAAAAAGAAAAGAAAGAAATATGACCTTAACACAACTCTCAGAACTCGATTGCATTTGGTCCAGTTCCGTCACATACAGCTAGATTTTTTTTGCCTATTGTACTTCACTAGGAATGGGCCCTTAATATAGGATTTTCCTATTTTACCAAATGTAAATACACTCATTATAAAAGTGTTAGAAACCTACAGTTTTGTGAATTTGGCTTATGAAGTAATTGTGAAATAATCTTCAACAAAAAAGCAATGACAATTTGTTTTTCCCTGGGTTGGTGGGTAATTCAGTGACCACAGGTGATGGTAAGAATATCTGATATTGTCCCCTCCTAGCCCCGGTGGTCCAGTCATTTTTCCCAGCATATCACTGAGCATCCATCAGTGCTAGATGCTGGGCACTAAGGATACAGAAGTCAAGCAGACATGGTCTCTGTTCTTGTGGAACTTATAATCAAGTGTGGAAGACAGGTTTAAAAATGGAATTGCTTTACATGATGTAAAAAATCCTAACCAGAGCTCTACAGCGTGATTAATTTAGAAGTGGTAGAATTACAGAAGTAATCACAGCAGTTGACTACTTACTGTGTGCCAGCTCAATCTTTATTGCTTTACTTGTATTAACACATTTAATTCTCACAACAACCATAGGAGGTAGATGCTATTATTTTCCCTATTTTACACATAAAGAACTTAAGCTTAAAGAGATGTAAGTAATCTGTCCAAGGTTACCCAAGTAACAAGGTTGGGGCAGAGCCAGGATTAGAACTCCAGCAGTCAGGTTTAAAAACCCAAGCCATTTACTAGGATCTGCTAGAAGTGACATTTGAATTGTCTGCAGAAGAGTGAGTGGTGTTTAAAAGATGGAGAGGAGCTTTCCAAGTAGAATAAAATATAAGCCGACCAGATGCATCAAAATCCTCAAAAACACAGATTTTAGACACCCCAAACCCTAGCTTCTGAGAAGCTGTGTTTTAGAACTGTGGCTTCCAAATTGGGATTCTCAGATTCCCAGAGTCTGGGTGGAATTATGGGGAAAAACCCAGACAAATAAAAAGCTTGTTAATGGAATAATACATTAACAGAGAGTAAGGCTGTGAAGGGGCCGATATAGACTTTAAATTTTTGGCTGGTGTTTAAAACTCTGGCGTGGAACTAATTTGTCATGCAGATAATACTGGTTGGCAGATTAATTTAGGATTAATTAAAAATGGGGAAAGAAGTATAACTCAATAACCATGATTAGTTTAGTCACTTCAAAGAAGACATGGTGGAAGGTAAAGGATAACTATTTACAAAAGCAGTTTTAGGGTAATGAACGTGAAGAAATCACTAAGCTAAGGAAAGAGGTTATATTTAGGATCCCCTGAAACCTTGGCTCTCCCCTCCCTTTGTCACTTTCTGGGAAGGCAAAGCTGAAGCCCACCTTAGGATTATAGGAGACCAATAATTCTCAGGCTAGGGTTACTTTTCTTGTTTTAATTCCCAAAAATTTAATATGTCATTAATGGGATGAAATTTTTGTGCCAATGGCAAAGTGGCCCCTGGTGGCCAACAACCCTCCCCCTGCACCACCACTCTAGTTTTTAGGAGTTTTACTTTGAGGCAGGTAAGACATATTTTCCTTAGTTACTCTCCCAGAGGTCAAATTCATTTCATTTGGATGCTAGTTGTGGGGAGCAGTGGGAATTTAAAAAGAGAGGAGAGGTGTTACAGATTATGAAATCTTATAAATAAATTTTTCTTTTATTTCTTTTTTTTTCCTTTCACAGATCCTAGAGCAATAAATAAATTTTTTATATTAACATTGATCTCTGACATTGGTTCTCAAACTTGGTAGATATCAGAATCATCTAGAGGGCTTATTAAGACAGATTTCTGGGTCCTGCTCTCAAGGTTGCCGATTAAGTAGTTTTGGGGTGAGGCTTAAGGATTTGCTCTTTCTTTTTTTGAGAACGAGTCTCACTCTGTTGCCCAGGCTGGAGTGCAGTGGTGTGATCTCAGGTCACTGTAACCTGTCTCCTGGGTCCAAGCAATTATCCTGCCTCAGCCTCCCAAGTAGCTGGGATTACAGGCATGCACCACCATGCCCAGCTAATTTTTGCATTTTAAGTAGAGACGGGGTTTCACCATGTTGGCCAGGCTCGTCTCAAACTCCTGACCTCAGGTGATCTGCCTGCCTTGGCTTCCCAAAGTGCTGGGACTACAGGCCTGATTCACCACACCAGGCCGAGGATTTGCGTTTTTAACACATTCTCCTCT